GCACTTGCAAATTTGCAATGGAAATTGTTCCCAGATCAATATTTGTTATTCTTTCCATTCATTCACAGTTATGTCTATGAATCATTGTTCAACTTAAGATATTTATATTTGGGGCGTTTAAGAGCAAGAGACTAAATAAAAATACTGGCGTGCCAAGGTGCGGATGGAAAGGAATCTATTTTGCAGAACATAATTTTCAATGGGACGTTTAAATTAGAGATATCCTGGAATTTACTCCCACTCTTGCCTAGGGAAGTAAAAATGAAATTCATTGGAAGGAATGTAGAAGCAGAAAAAGGAGTTAAACGGATTCATATTCTGGTCACATAAATTGAGATCTGAGATGACCAGAATATTACAGTGGTTTGAGTGCTGGATTAGGATTCTGAGAAAACAGAGTTCAAATCTATGGATGGAAGGAGTTCAACTCCCTCTGAATTAATCTGACCAAGAATACCGCATGATAGCTTTATTTCTAGGCTGTCAAAAGTCAGAAATGACCAGAAGGTCTGGGAGTGTAGGGCCATCGGGACTCTGCCACCACACCTCCTCCATCCGGCGCCTGGCCGTGGGGTGCAGTAGATGGGTGTGCCGATGAGCCGCTATCCCCATACCCCCAGAGGACGGACATGTCCCAATCCGAGGTGGCGCAAGGTGGGGCTGTTTTCCTCATGCCTGCCATGTCCGTCGGGTCTTTGCCGGACATGGAGCACGGTGGTCGTGCTTGGGATGCTCCCATCCCATACTCGTGAGGTGCCAAAAACTGCCCCTGGTGGCACAGTGGGTTAAACCCTTGTGCCAGCAGGACTGAAGACCAACAGGTTGCAGGTTCGAATCCGGGGACAGTGCGGATGAGCTCCCTCTGTCAACTCTAGCTCCCCATGCAGGGGCATGAGAGAAACCTCCCACAAGGTTGATAAAACATCAAAATATTTGGGCGTTCCCTGGGTAACGTCCTTGCAGACAGCCAATTCTCTCACACCAGAAACAACTTGCAGTTTCTCAAGTTGCTCCTGATACAAAAAAACCAAAACAAAACAGAAGGTACAGAACAACTATAACTATTGTTTGAGCATTGGTCATGAAGGCATCTACTTAATTCATGCCACTCAACCTAGACTTTTCAGTTTCCTTCAACCTGGGCACTGTATTTTCAACACACGAGTGGTCATAATGCTGAGGAAGCCTGCATATCACAAATGGTGTCAGTAGGCGGTAGCTGTCACTATATGTTAAGAGAGAATTATTTCTTCATTGTTGCTATAGGTTACATATATATATTCTTAGTATTATTTTTTTAAGTCCTGTCTTTTTCACAGCCCAATGACTGAAGGCAGCTTACAAAATTAAAGAAGAGAGAGATCAGAGTTATAATCAGTAAAAACATGTGCACACATGCCTATTTAAGTAGTCTGATGACTTATGGTGACCCCCATGAATTTCATAGGTCTTCTAAGGCAAGGAATATTCAGAGATTGTTTCGCCAGTTCCTTCTTCTGAAATATAGCCTATAGGACAGGTTTACTCTTTTGCAAGCCCATCAATAAATACATGTGTTGCCCTTCAAGAAATACAACTTGTGCTGCGTGCATATACCTTCAAATTGCTTGTTGAACCCATGAATTTCATCAGCTTTTCTTAAATAAGGAACCATCAGAGGTGGTTCTCCCAGTATCTTCCTTTGAAACATAGCTTATGACACCCAGTATTCATTGACAGTAAAGGTAAAGGTTTCCCCTGACATTAAGTCTAGTCATGTCCAAATGATGCTCATCTCAATTTCTAAGCTGAAGAGCTGGTGTTGTTTATAGACACCTCCTAAGTCATGTCACCGTTGCCTTCCCGCAGAAGCAGTACCTATTGATGTAGTCACATTTGAAGACAACTGAAGATCTGGCTCTGAGGCCAGACATTCGATTAGAGGCCAGCGGCAATAGGAAAAGGAAATTTGGATTTTGTGACATGGATTCTCCCGGTTCAGCTTGGTTTTTACTGGCACGTTATTAATCTATCTATTAATTTATTGTTAAATTTTACTGATGTTGTACAATGTTTTAAAATGAATTTATTGTGAATTGTCATTTTTATGGTATTTATGCTGTTAGCATCCTCTGATGCTCATGTGAGGCCGTGCTGTGTCCCCCCTTGTGGTGAGAAGGGCGGAATATAAATATTTAAAATAATAAAACAATAACAATAATTTGCATGTTTTTGAACTGCTAGGTTGGCAGAAGCTGGATCTAACAGCAGGAGCGCACCCCGCTCCCCGGATTCGAACTGCCAACTTTTGTCAGCAAGTTCAGCAGCTCAGCGGTTTAACCCGCTGTGCCACTAGGAGGCCCTTTATTGATGGTATCCCATGCAAATACTAAATAGGACTGACGCTAAATACTTGACTCAATCACATGCCTTTGGGGCATTTAGGCCCCCAGCAAAAGAATGTAAAAACAATGAAACTGTTAACAGAATTAAAAACAATTTTAAAGAATCTAATCCACCACATCTCACAAATATTTGGAAAGAAAATCAAAAGAGTACATCTTGATTTTGCCAAATGACAGGCACTAGATTCACTTGTAGGCAAACTCTGCTGTAGCCTCCCATTATTTCATAGACCCTCAGGCTCTCTTTGGCACTCATTTGTATTGCTCACCATTTCATATAAGGGATGCCATGAGTGACAGCCTATAATGATGATGACAAGGGATGCCATCTTACTATGGGATTTGAGAAGCCACAGATTTTTGTACCCATGGGGATCATGGAAACAAATCCCAGTGCATACCAAGTGAACTATAACTGCCTTCTCTGACTTAATTTCTAGGCAGTTTAACTTACACTACAAGTCTTTGTATATAAACTGGTTGTGCTGTATAAAGTAGTGATCGCTACCACTACTTGTGCTGACCGAACATAGCCATACCACATACTTCTACGAGTAGCATGTTAAGATCCAACTTCCAACACCTACATGTTTTCCTGGACATTTTCTTGAGGTAACTGTGGAACTGATCTATTTAAAGCCTTTTTGTAAAAAAAATAAAATAAAAATAAAAGAATTTATGTTATGATTAATTTTTTCCCCATTTTTCCATTTTCTCTCTGATCTCAGACTCTCAAACTAAGACAACCCTTTTGTGGGAAAGATTCCTACCAATCTTTTATTTTTAAATATCGAAGTGCACACATCAATTTTGTCAATAAACTCAATGATTATATCAGACACCACGGTGTTGTTATAGAGACTGTTTAGAAGACTTTGCAGCAGTTCCAGTGCCAGATAATTAATGCTGGATGCTACAAAGCTATTATCAGGTTGTCTCTATGGAAACAAACCAAAAGCCTACACTTACAGTTGCAACAAGGAACTTGCATCAATCCTTTTCTCCACATCCTCTTCAGATATTGAAATGGAACGACAGCTGTGCTGTCAAATTTTGATTGACTATAATTTACTATGTCTATATATTGAATTAGAACGGGAATTTAAGCCCAGCAGTATCTGAAGAGCCAAAGTTCACCTGCTCAATGTATCTATTTCCTGGTCCCAGCACAGGGCTGAAACAAAATAGTTTTAGGTCTGGTCAGAACCTGGATGGGAAACCAACTGGGAAATCTATAAATTTACCTTGGAGTGAAAATCACTGAATTCAGTGGGTCTTAGTTCAGGTTGGGTATGCATAGGAGTGCACCAAGATGAGAAGCTGAATCAAGTTAGCAGGATTTCCACTCTCAACACCCATTTTGTTGAGTAGGGAACTTGTAGCTTCCGATTCCGTGGGGCGGTGAGTTTTAGCACAACATTTAAATGGGCTCTCCCAATTGCTAATGTTGTCTTTAAAATAAGTTCAACATCTTAGATAGATCATTGAACGTTAGGGCCAGGGCATACAACGTGTTCATTCTGACATGGAAGCAAGCCACCAGTTGCCACTGAGTCTCAGAATATTGAAAAAGAGAAAAGTAAAGGGATGCTCACAGGCTTCCTATCCTTCTCTCTTTCTTTCCTTACTTCCTCCTTCCATCCTTCCCTTCCTTCCTTACCTCCCTCTTTCTCCTTCCCTCCTTACTTCCCTTCCACCCCTTTGTCCTTCCTTCCCTCTTTCCTCCCTCCTTCCCTCTCTCCCTCTTTTTCCTTCCTTCCTTTGTTACTTCCCCCTTTTGTCTTTCCTTTCCTCTCTCTTTCCACCCTCCCTTCCACCCTCCCTTCCTCCATTCCCTTCCACCCTCCCTTCCTTCCTTCCCCTCCCTTTTGTCTTTCCCTCCCTTTCTCTTTCCATCCCCCCTTCCTCCATTCCCTTCCACCCTTCCACCCTTCCTTCCTTTTTTCTCTTTTTCCTTCCTCCTTTCCTCCATTACTCTAAGTCCCATCTGCCGCTTTGAGTCCCATCCTTGGAAGAAAAGTAAACAAATAATAATAATAATTCCTCCTGAGGGATGTTCAGCTGGGAAAAGAGACGGTTGAGAGGAAATATGAGAACCAGGTCTCAAGATTTTAAAGGGTGTCTCATTGAGAAGAAGGAAGGGGGAAACTGACTTTCTGCTGCTCTAGAGGCCAGGGCACAAGGGAGCAATGGCTTCAAATGGCAGGGAAAGAGATTCAACTGAAAAGATTAGGAAGAACTTCCTAAAACTAAGAGCTGTTATAGAGTGGCATAGGCTGGCTTGGAATGTGATGGAGTCTCCTTCTCTGGAGGCTTTCCCTCAGAGACTGTCTATTGGGAGTGCTTTGGTTGTGCCTTTTTGCATGGCAAGGGGTTGGACTGGATGGCCCTTGAGGATCTCTCCCAACTCTAGGATTCTATATCAGGAATAGGCAGTACGGGATCTAATGGATACACTTTTTCTCTCCCATCCACATCAACACCCTCCCTCCCTCCCAGCCTGCCCATCCTGCTCCGGTCTGCCATGTGGCCCCCAAGTTAGAAATGCCTTATCTAGCTGAAAATCAAATTATCACATCTTAAACTTGATTCCAAGATGAAGTGCAATTATCTTACCTTTGCTAGGAAGCTCCAAGCTGCATACTGTCCAGCTGACGTGCTGTTTTTAAGTTTCATGGTGTGATAAGCCAGAAAGAATCCCAATACTCCACTGTAAAGGGTGATAGATAATGCCATTAGTAGGGTTCACATTTTCAATTATATATCCTTCAGGAACAATTGTTTTAATGAGGAGCAGTGAATACATTAGTTTAACCTGTGAACTCCAATGCTTAATCTTGAAAATTCTTAATGTTCAGTGTAGTTTCATAGACAGTAATGGTCTTAGAAATCCTGCTATGGCTTATTTTATGGCTATGTCTTATTTTCGGGAAAACATGGTATATTGCATCAATTCTTACAGACTCCAATCTATTTTGGAATGTTGGTAGTCTATTAAATAAAAGTCCTTCAAAACAGATAATCCATGCTTTAAAATGCAAGCTATAATATATTGTTAAAAGAGGAACCTGACAAAAGAATTGCAGGGAGATAACAGGTACCATATTAAAAATACAGCTTTTTAAAAAAGCTAGAAGACCATCAAAAAATCTCTACTTGGTCCCAGAAGTCATCCAACACAGTGTTAGTGAGTCTCCTGGTGGGAAAATTGTAGAGAAGAAAATGTTCTTAAATGGTTTCCCATCAGCTTGTACATGAAAAGGTTTAGTAGTCAGGTCAGTTTATGTTTAATCCCTTCAATTTTTGGTCCTTAGTCTTCAGACCTTGATTTGCCTTTGGAAACAGGATAAATGCCAGTGTTTATCAACCAAGACATGTTCCAGTTATTAATTTAACTGTGCTAGCACCTTCTAGTCTATTGCTCTAAAATAGGCATGAGCAAACTTGGACCCTTCAGGTGTTTTGGACTTCAACTCCCACCATTCCTAACAGCCTCGGGCCCCTTTCTTTTCCCCCTCAGCCACTGAGGGGGAAAAGGAAAGGGCCCAAGGCTGTTAGGAATAGTGGGAGTTGAAGTCCAAAACACCTGGGAAGGCCCATGCCTGCTCTAAAAGCTATCTCAGAATTAATCTCCACTGATGTTAGTGGCATAATTTGAAACATTCATAAAGATTGTTGATTATAAGTTGATATGACTTGGTATTATATTTTTAAGAATAACATCCTGGAAGACTGGAATGGCTAAGTGTTTTGGACACACACCAATTTAGAAAGCCTTAAGGGGGAAAAAAAACCCTAAACAATTATGTGGCAATTTGAGCAGTGGGAATCAATACTGTAAGTAAATTAGCAAGCGCTTTGGGCAACTTTTAATTCTCCAAGTTAAGGAGATGCTTAAAATAATAAATCCATTCCCATTAGTGTGGCCACTTGTATCCCATGTGGTATTTGTTAGAGTTTTTCTCTTTTAAACAACTCCTAAAATCTGCCAAATACCATGATGCACAAGCAAATAAATCCATGCATGCGGAAGCTAATTGAGTACTGTTGTCTAATGCCTCCTAACTACTGCAAACAATACAATTTTAAAGGACTAATTGACTTATGAGTCTTTTGAGAGATGCCTTCGGTAAATACCCTGCTATGGAAAGGCATAGGTGCTCAACACAGGACCTGCATGCGAATCCTGACACCACTGCACACATTGATCACGGCTACAAGTCAGATTACTAAAATTGAACCTGCTGAAGCAAATGGCATAACCTTAATACTAAAATTCCTAATCACAACAGAGTTGAAAGGGTGTCCCCTTCTGTACTATATAGCTGCCACTAAATTTCAGTGGCAACTGTAGTGTTGGTCTCTGTAGGGAAAGGTTATGGACTGCAGAGGTGGCAGGGCAATTGTTGGAGCCTCTCCCAATCCAAAGATGTTGCCCAACTCTGTGACACACAGAATCACTCAACAGCAGTACGTGTGAAAAAGATCTTGGAGTCCTCATGGACAACAAGTTAAACATGAGCCAACAATGTGATGCGGCGGCTAAAAAGGCCAATGGGATTTTGGCCTGCATAAATAGGAGTATAGTGTCTAGATCCAAGGAAGTCATGCTCCCCCTCTACTCTGCCTTGGTCAGGCCACACCTGGAATCACACTGTGTCCAATTCTGGGCACTGCAATTTAAGGGAGATGTTGACAAGCTGGAATGTGTCCAGAGGAGGGCGATAAAACGATCAAGGCTCTGGAGGAGTGGCTTAAAGAGCTGGGCACGTTTAGCCTTCAGAATAGAAAGCTGAGAGGAGACATGATGAGGGCCATGGATAAAGATGTGAGGGCAAGTCATAGGAAAGAGGGAGCAAGCTTGTTTTCTGCTGCCCTGGAGACTAAGACAAGGAACAATGGCTTCAAACTACAGGAAAGGGGATTCCACCGGAACATGAGGAAGAACTTCCTCACTGTGAGAGCTGTTCAACAGTGGAACTCTCTGCCCCGGAGTGTGGTGGAGGCCCCTTCTGTGGAGGCTTCTAAAAAGAGGCTGGATAGCCATCTGTCAGGGGTGCTTTGAATGCGATTTTCCTGCTTCTTCGCAGGGACTTGGACTGGATGGCCCATGAGGTCTCTTCCAACTCTATCATTTTATGATTTGAGCACCCCATAGACCAGGGGTCCTCAAACTTTTTAAACAGAGGGCCAGGTCACAGTCCCTCAAACTGTTGGAGGGCCGGATTATAATTTGAAAAAAGAATGAATGAATTCCTATGCACACTGCACATACCTTATTTGTAGTGCAAAAACACTTAAAAACAATGCAATAATTAAAATGAAAAACAATTTTAACAAATATAAACTTAGTATTTCAGTGAGACGTGTGGGCCTGCTTTTGGCTGATGAGATAGGACTGTTGTTGTTGTTGTGTGCTTTCAAGTCATTTCAGACTTAGGCTGACCCTGAGCGAGGGCCGGGTAAATGACCTTGGAGGGCCGTATCCGGCCCTTGGGCCTTAGTTTTAGGACCCCTGCCATAGACGTTAGGAGGCATATTACATACATGTGCTTTGAGAAACCCAGCTCCAGAAGTGGGAGAAGTGGAAAAATTAAAAAATGAATTTTAGAAGCTAACTAGCACCTGTGCACCATTTTTGATTCAATTCAAAAAGCCAGGTTATGTTACAAGATTTGAAAAGGTCTCACAGTTTGAGGTCATGGTTTGTATATGCGGCAAAACATAGAAGCCCTCTGACTCAGAAACGGAAACGTTACCTGGCAAAACAACTGCTGTGAAACCTGTAAAAGTAGAGGAATGGAAATTCCAAGGCACTGAAGAGATCACCTGCGGAAATAAGTTAATAAATGTTTGTTTGGGGTTTTTTTGGGGGGGGGGGATGGCAGAAATACGAACAGTTAAATTTCTATATATGGTTACTGAACTAGCAGCTGTTGGTTTCAACACAAGCATTTAATAGCTAGCCATTAGCTTAGACAGCAACCAGTTCCCAGTCCTTTTAAGAAAAACCTGATTCTTAAAATCAGTTCAGAAATTGGTTACAAGGAAGTGTGCATTTAGTGAACACATTTCTACTTGATAAACAATCCTGTTGGATATTGCAGTTTCTAATGGAAAGGCATGAGATCAATCCATCGTGTTTATATTTCTGGACATGAGGGATTAATTTGCTTCCACTGAATACATTAATTTCTCACTATGCTACAGGAAACACTTGTAGGTATTGGCTGTTTCCCTCGATAAATCTGAATTATGGTAGAAAGAAGAAAAGAAAATAAACTTTCAAAATAAAGAAAGACACATTTAAGCATGTGTAGTAATCTTTAAGTAATCGACTATGGACACGGTTAAGAATAAATCGAATAAAGGGAATCAACTTCAACTACATTTGTTGTGCAAAAGATATTTGTGCTCCTGAGAGCCACTGTGGTCTATTAGCTGGAGCACTGGAATATGAATTTGTAGACCTGGGTTCAAATCCCCTTTCTGTTAAGGAAGCCCACTAGGTGATTTGGGCATTCTCTCTCAGACTCACAGGAAGGGCAAAGGCAAACTATCTCTTAACAAATCAGGCCAAGAAAACCCTATGATAGGATCACAGTAAAGAAATGACTTTAAGATACACAACAAAAAGGGACAATCATATTCTATGTTAAGGGAGTCGTGGTAGTTCAGTGGGTTAAACCCTTGTGCCGGCTGAACTGCTGACTTGAACGTCGGCAGTTCGAATCAGCGAGATGGGGTGAGTTTCTGTGTGTCAGCTCCAGCTTCCCATGCGAGGACATGAGAGAAGCTTCCCATAGGATGGTAACACATCAGGGCATCCCCTGGGCAACGTCTCTGTAGACGGCCAACTTTCTCACATCAGAAGCGACTTGCAGTATTCCCAAATCACTTCTGATTCAATAAAAAATATTATATGTTCTCTGAAACAGCCTATATAAATGTCACCTGCAAGGGCATATGCACAATTTCAGCTAATATGGGATCCCTATCCCAGGTTTGCTGAGATCATAAAAAATGAAGGAGTGGAGGATTTAAAAAGAAACAACTGATGGGCAGGAACAAGAAGTGGTTGCCTTTTTAAACTTATTTTTTTATATATTCAATTAATACTCTGTTTTTCTCATTAGATGAGATCCATGATGGCTGGACACATGTTTCCTTCTCCTGAGCAAAACTCTGTCTCAGGAGGGATTAAAATCAATACATTAACAAAGGGATTATTAGCTGATGAGATTAAGCTATCCCTGCCGACTGATACACTATATTTTTGCCTTGGACACAAGCAAGTAAAAACATAGCTTTGTTTTTTCCAATATGAAATGGCTCAAAGGCCTTTTACACATATATTAAATTGCTATGCTAAGACATCTGTGTTACTTCACAACCATTTCCTCTTTTAAAAAGCCACAATTAAGGCAATCAACTGATGTTTGTGTCTCTTGTACTTCTTTTCCCAACGTCAATGCTAATCAAGGTGGCCAGTTGCTATATCCACACTTGCCTCAAACTGCCAAGAGTTCTTTCTCCCACCCTGGGCATTTCACAGACACATAAACCTCACTTGCCTAGTCTCCAACAAACCTCTCAACCTCTGAGGATGCCTGCCATAGATGTGGGTGAAACATCAGGAGAGAATGCTTCTAGAACATGACCATACATCCTGGAAAACTCACAGCACTCCAATCAACTAATGTTTGTGTCTCTTGTACTTATTTTCCATGTCTTCCTCCGACTCAATCATGGACATACATATTGGCCACCATGTCTCTGGTAAAGTGGGCTACCTCTCCCCAAAACCTCATGCCAAACAAAACATGATCCTTTAGACCTGTAACATGCGAGTGAATCAGGCATTAAAACTGCATAATATAGTCCCCTCCAGAACCAGCCTGGGTTATGGAGCCTGAATTATATTTCTTCTGTCCTTGGATGTTTCAGCAACATTTTTCACTCTTTTAATTAATTAGCTAAGTCTTTCTTTGGACAAGGGCAGGAAGGAGAGAAACATCTAATGCAGTGGCGCAGTGGGTTAAACCCTTGTGCCGGCAGGACTGAAGACCAACAGGTCAGAGGTTCAAATCTGGGGAGACCATGGATGAGTTCCCTCTGTCAGCTCCAGCTCCCCATGTGGGGACATGAGAGAAGCCTCCCACAAGGATGTTAAACATCAAAATATCCGGGCATCCTCTGGGCAACATCCTTGCAGACGGCCAATTCTTTCACACCAGAAGCGACTTGCAGTTTCTCAAGTTGCTCCTGACACACACAAAAAAGAAAAGAAAATCTAACCCCTCCCCTTAATATTTATATTAGATTGGCAGAAGGGAGAAAGCTGGGCTCTCCTTTTGAAATGATTTATAGCAATCCCAATCCAGTGGCTGGTCTTTCGGCTGGATGTGACTTCAAGCCCACAAATCAATGTGCAGAGGCCATAGAAGGCTGTCAGCACACAAAGCAGGAGAGTAACATATGGTGGGAATTTGGACTTGAAGGACTAAATTGATGATGAAGTAAACACAGTACAGAAAATACCACCCCCACCCCCCTTGCTACCTTATTCTTGAGCAGTGGAAAGTAACCATCTCAGGAGGTAGATCTGGGTTGCTATGACATACCAGCATAGTGAGAATTAATTATTTGTACATATCTTTGCTGACAGGGAGAGATCCTTGGGGACTTTTCTGCTCCATTTTCCAGAACAACTCAGAAAGCATTGGGTATGGTCTGCTTTGATGGGGGATTCACTACTTGTGAAGCTCATAGTACTATTGTTTACATCATAGATTTCCCTAATCTGTCAGTGTTCAAAACGCACATGTGGTTCTGCATTGGATGCTATTCATTTAGCAAGGTTAGCTATCTGTGCATACAGAGTCAGACAAATATGGATTTCTGCCTCTATTGTTTGCATCATACATAGAGGTGAAAATAAATGTGAAAATAAAAGCACAATGCTGAAAAGAACTGGAATTGTATTTCCTTTTTTTTACCTGTTGGGTGGGATGCAAAAGCCAACATCACCACACTGAAAACAAAAGAGAAAAAGGACATTAGTCTTCTTAATTCCCCATGTGAAACTACATTTTCATTGTCCCGATGGCGCAGTGGGCTAAACCACTGAGCTGTTGAACTTGCTGACCAAAAGGTTGCCAGTTCAAATCTGGGAAGCGGGTTTGTTAGCCCCAGCTTCTGCCAATCTAGCAGTTTGAAAACATGCAAATGTGAATAGATCAATAGGTACCACTCCGGTGGGAAGGTAATGATGCTCCATGCAGTCATGCCGGCCTCATGAACTTGGAGGTGTCTATGGACAACACCGGCTCTTTGGCTTAGAAATGGAAATGAGTACCATCCCCCAGAGTCAGACACAATTGGACTTAATGTCAAGGGGAAAACTTTTACCTATCAGATGTGAGGGTGCAGTTTTAATTATTCCGCTCTTCTGCAACTTGGAACATCCACATGCGATTTTATTTCTAGCCGTCCCAAGCCTGACAAAAACTCTTTAAGATACTATAATCAGAAACACTTTCTGAGGATCTAGGATTTCAGTGTGTACAAGAGCCACAGGCAGTAATATGGATGTGCCATTTGTTTGGTGCGGAAGGCATTGTTTTCTCCTCTGGCAAAACTCTACTTTTTTCTCAAGTTAAAGAGTCTTCAGAGTGCAGCTTGATCGCTTTGGACAATTACATCATAAACTTTTCAGGATGCACAACTGCTCTACAATTCACTGTTAATGTATATCAAAGTTAAAGTCTTTTGCATTTGATGCCCCTATACTCATGATATTAATAAAAAAATTATGTCGGCTCCCAGGGCTACAAATAATTAATGGGACTATGATGAATCCATTAACGTCCTCCAAGTTGATGTTCATAGAAAAACGAGCAAGACTGTAAAAAGGATGCCTTACAAAATCAAAGCTTATGCCAGAAAAAAGAGATGCCTTGTATATTTAGAATATTTTACATGTTTATTTATTTATTTACTTTACTTTACTTCTATACCGCTGTTCTCAGCCCGGAGGCGACTCACGGCGGTTCACAAGACACAGGACACAGCAAAATTCAACACCAATATAAAACAGTTAATAACCTAATCTAATACACAATCAATACACAATTACTATAATAACAATTCACTAAGGTCTCATCCCTAAAACATGATCCAGATTCGTCATCCATTGTTCCACTCCTATGTCATTACCAGTCATTGCACAATTATTCGAACACCTGCTGAAATAACCAGGTCTTTACTTTCTTGCGGAATACCATTAGAGATGGTGCTAACCTAATATCTGTGGGAAGGGCATTCCACAGCCGGGGAGCCACCACCGAGAAGGCCCTATCTCTCATCCCCGCCAGCCGTGCTTGTGACGCTGGTGGGATCGAGAGCAGGGCCTCCCTGGAAGATCTCAAAGTCCTGGTGGGTTCATAGGCCGAGATGCGGTCAGATAGGTAGCTTGGGCCGGAACCGTTTAGGGCTTTAAAGGTCAACGCCAGCACTTTGAATTGAGCCCGGTAGCAAATCGGTAGCCAGTGGAGTTGGCACAACAGGGGGGTTGTATGCTCCCTGCGTAATGTTGAAATTTGCGTAATGTTGTAATTTGCAACTTCTAATAAGAGAAAGGGGCTCCCTGCTGGCACAGCGGGTTAAACTGCTGGTCTGCTGAACTTGCTGACTGAAAGGTTGGCAGTTCGAATCTGGGGAGTGGGGTGAGCTCCCACTGTCAGCACCAGCTTCTGCCAACCTAGCAGCTCGAAAATATGAGAATGTGAGTAGATCAATAAGTACCGCTTCTGCAGGAAGGTAACGGCGCTCCATGTAGTTACGCTGACCATATGACTTTCAAGGTGCCTATGGACAGCACCAGCTCTTCGGCTGGAATCACTAGTTGCTGTGAGTTTTCCGGGCTGTATGGCCATGTTCCAGAAGCATTCTCTCCTGACGTTTTGCCCACATCTATGGCAGGCATCCTCATAGGTTGTGAGATTTGTTGTAAATTAGGCAAGTGAGATTTGTATATCTGTGCAATGTCCAGGGTGCGAGAAGGGATTCTTGTCTACTTGAGGCAAGTGTGAATGTTGCCAATGCCACCTTGATTAGCATTTAATGGGCTTGCAACTCCAAAGCCTGGTTGGTTGCTGCCTGGGGCAATCCTTTGTTGGAAGGTGTTAGCTAGCCAAGATTGATTCTTGTCTGGAATTCCCCTGATTTTTTTTTTTTTAGTGTTGCTCTTTATTTACTGTCCTGTATTTTAGAGTTTTTAAAAACTTCACTTGCCTAGTTTCCAACAGATCTCACAAACTCTGAGGATGCCTGCCATAGATGTGAGTGAAACATCAGGAGGGATGTTTCTTCTGGAACATGGCCATATAGCCCAGAAAACTCACAACAGACCAGCTCATTGTTTGTCCTGAATATCTTTCTACAGAGATGGCTGTTTAGAATGGAAAAAGCAACCAGACTTTGAGGAAGATCAAACATCTCATTCCTTTCCACTAAGTAGTGTTTTTTTGGGAGACAAGGGGTGCCCAAACAAACAGGACCAGCCCAAGTCATTCTCCTGCCTGAAGGAAAGGAAAAGACAACAATGTCCTCAGTTCTACGTACATTTCTATGTACAGAACCCATCACTTTAGTCCTGCTTTCCCATCTACTGCTGGAAGTGTTTGCCTCAATTTACCCAACAGTGAAATTGCTCCTGCTTATGAAGGAATAAAAGAAGCAGGGCAGAGTAAAGAACAGACGAGAGTGAGCTTTCCCATCTTGGGAGAACAGGTTACTTCTCTTTAGAAATTTGATGCAGGTCTACCGCTCTCTTTACTGATAGGAGACTATATGCTACTTTCTTCAATGTATGACCTGCTTTGAGGATAGGGACTCCAGATGTAGAAGTACACTTCCAGCAAGGCTAGTCTGCAGAGCCCATGATGTTGTAGTTCAACAACATCTAGAGAGCTGCCTTTTCGTCAACCTGCTCTAGTGTATATTTGCAAAGCACACACATACACTATTTATATTCAGCTTTATCTCCCTGGGGGGACTCAGAGCAGATTACATACATATATAAGGCAAACATTCAATACCTTTTACACTAATTGCATACAATACACAGATAAGGTAAAGGCCTTCCCCTTTTCTATTTCCAGCGTCTGGAGGCAATCCTCAACTCTGGCCATGGGGAGGTGCTCTTGTTCCATTTTCCACGCTGAAGAAGCCTGATGTCTGTAGACATCTCCAATCTTTTTGCTGTCATGTCTGCGTGGGGCACCCTTTTACCTTCCCACAGAGGAGGTACCTATTGATATACCGTATATTCTGACGTATAAGACTACTTTTTAACCCAAGAAAATTTTCTCAAAAGTCAGGGGTCGTCTTATACACGGGAGTCATCTTATATGCTGGAGTAGCCTTATGTATGGGAGTCATCTCATATGCGGGAGTAGTCTTATATGCTGGGAGTCGTCTTATAGAGCGGGTGCTGAAACTTCCTATCCGGATTGGCAAATCTGTGGTTGCTGCATATTCTGGGGAGAGCTCAAAAATGGCAGTGGCTGCGTCCCTGCCATATGCAGTGACTGTATGAAAGCATTAAGGGTGACACTGTACAAGTATAGTAGAAGAAAATCAATTCATCAAGATTCGTGGACTTAATGCTGTTCTGATGGTGAGGTGAAGGGGTGCCTCACCGGGAAGATGTAAGTGAAGGGCGGAGCAAGCTGCAGGCGTCCGGGGCGCCCAGAGTATGGAGAAAAGAGATATAGTGGCTCTGGGCCCAGAAAAACAGAACTCTTTTACCTGTCTGGCCCGCCCTTGTATCCTACTACCATACCTCCTCCTCTGCCTCTCAGATCTTGCTCCTGAAGACTGCAGTGAAGTGGTGCAGGAGCGCATGTGCGAGATCTGAGAGGCAGAGAAGGAGGTACAGTAATAGGAAATTTTAACTGGAAAAGTTGGGGGTTGTCTTATACACCCAGTCGTCTTATATGCTGGAATACATGGTACTCACATTGCATGCTTTTGAGCTGGTAGGTTGGCAGAAGCTAGGACTGAACAGTTGAGAGCTCACCCCAACTCGTTGCTTTGAACTGCTGATCTTTCAGTCAGCAGCTTTTCCTGCAGCTAGTGGCTTTAACTGCTAAGCTACCACGGCCCCATATTATCCACACACACCCCACACGAAGCCTCCATCAAAAACTAGATAAGACTCATCTCAAATTATTCATCACATGCAGAAAGGATATAATTTTTACCTGAATGCATAGTTTATATATTGTTGCTCTGAGATACTAGGGAGGAAAACACAATTATTTTAGCATTTTTCTATAAGATTATGGCTAAATGTTCTATGTTACAAATATCAGTTATAAGACGCCAACACTGTGTGTGTGTGCGCACCTCCAAGTAGCCTGTTAAATTATGGCCTCTTCATGCATTTCAAAGGGTTTTCCTAGGCAATGAATACTCAAGAGGCAGTTCTATCTGTTACTTCCACTGAAATATAGCCCAAAGCAGCTTATATTTGTTGCCAGTCCCCCATCCAGGTACTAACTGCTCCTGGCCCTGCTTAACTTTAAATATCAGATGGAATCTGGTGCCTGAATGGTATTTAATCCTGATGTCATTTCTTTTTTATATAAATAATAAACTTTTTTTAATGGTGATTCAAGAAAATATCATTTGAATGACCAGGGAAGTCATGCTACCCCTCTATTCTGCCTAGGTCAGACCACACCGGAATACCGTGTCCAATTCTGGGCACAACAATTGAAGAGAGATATTGACAAGCTGGAATGTGTCCAGAGGAGGGCGACTAAAATGTTCAAGGGACTAGAGAACAATCCCTATTAGGAGCAGCTGAAAGAGTTGGGCATGTTTAGCCAGCAGAAGGGAAGGCTGAGAGGAGACATGATGAGGGCCATGTATCAAGATGTGAGGGGAAGTCATAGGGAGGAGGGAACAGGCTTGTTTTCTGCTGCCCTGGAGACTAGGGCGCAATTGAACAATGGCTTCAAACTACAGGAAAGGAGATTCCACCTGGACATTAGGAAGAACTTCCTCACCGTGAGAGCTGTTCAACCCTAGTACTCTCTGCCCCAGAGTGTGGTGGAGGTTCCCTCTTTGGAGGCTTTTAAACAGAAGCTGGATGGCCATCTGTTGGGGGAGCTTTGAATACAATTTTCCTGCTTCTTGGACTGGATGGCCCATGAGGTCTCTTCCAACTTTATGATTCTATGGTTTTTAGTTTACTCTATTATGGCAGCTCATGATTCTAGTATAGAAGCCCACACATGCTTTAACCAAGAGTATATCCATCTGTTAAATGTTATATCACACTTAGGTTGGACAGTCAACCAAAACAGAATGACTCTAGCCAGCCAGAGGGACCATTAAGATCCAGTTTTAGAGCAAACTTTCCATCATTTCTGCATTGCATTTAAAATAAATGGGTTGAACAGTGTTTCTATTTCTTTAAAAATTATTACAAATCAAGCCTTCTGCTCTTTGCATCTCTCTTAATGTTGCAGTACCCAGATGTCATCAAAATATTCCGAAAGCAATTCAGCTACCTATGGGATCCAGTTTCTCTCTTTCATTACTCCTACCACTAGTTTGCATGACAATTACAAATCAGTGGATTTCAGTAGATAAGTGGCTTGGAAACAGACCTATTTGCATAGCTTTCAGCAGCACTGCCACAACAATGTCCTTCTGCTCATATTGTTCCAACTCTCATGAATGTTTTATAGAATCAACAGCACATTTCAAAAACAGGCTGGCAAAGGAGACATAAACCTTGAAGTGTTGAATTCTTAGATAGGGAATGCAAGTACCAAGCAACCTCTCACAGTCATTTGTGTAGCTCCGCATAGGAACTCTCTTGCATAGGAAATATGTCAGGATAGAAAGAAAGCAATCATTCTTTTCCTTATCTTCACAAACTGACATTATTTTGTATCTTCCTACCAGTATTTCACCACTGTCAGAATCTCTGCGATAAGGAATGAGGCAATGACTTTTAAGCTGGAATAAATGTTGAGGAGGCAAAAACCACACAACAGACACATTCTCAAAATAGTACATTAGAAGATTTTACAACCCCGTTGTACAGTTGTTATGGCTTGTCCTTCACAGAAATTTTATTCCTTGTATGGTATTTGGGATGCAGCTAGAGATGTTTTAAATCTATAGAGCAGGCAAGAGTAGTTTTAAATTTAATTCATGGAAATATGATGGATAGATGAGGAATATGGAAGCCATTGATAGTTAAGTATTCCAGCTTCGTTGTCTGATTTGTGTTTTGAAGGAGAATCCATATTAGGGCAATACATTCCTTATGCCCAATCATAATGCTACAAAAATGTACAAAATATCAACTTTTCCAGAAATTCTCAAACAACCTTAGGATGGGAGAACAAAAAACCTTCAACAAAATGGGCCCAATGTTGTGATGTCCACAATTAAATCTAGTCTAAAGTGTAGTATCAATCAATCAATCAAAGACCCAATTTGCTCAGCAGGGAAAGTTCATAGCAGATTCATAAACTGCTAAGACCACTTAAAAACAGGATGAGTGCGCTACTAAATGCATATGAACAAGGATAAAAATACTGCAAATATATACAAGGCAAGTTTCAGCTTGGGTCTAACACAGGAAGTTGTCTTATCCTGTCTACCTCAGAGAGACACTTGGCAACAGCTAAGGTCACCTGGGGGAAATTGTCACCTAGTAAAAACTTCACATAGAATTAGACTGATCTACAAGGTAGGTTGCTCAGTAGTGGGTTAATTATATGTAACTGAGCCTGTTTGTAAAATTGCGGGAAATAAGATATGACACATACATCTAACATCTTAGTTATTACATAGGCAGTTTTGTAAGTATCGGATGACACACATCAATCTTTCCATTATCCTGAGCAAAATGCACAGGTTCCTGGGTTGGCACATTGCAGAAGTAGAGAACAACACAACAGTCTTTACACCAGAAAGTATGGAAATCATATTTAGATCATATTTTCCCACCCTCACCTTAAATACACACAAATATACATTACCTTAGAGAACTAGGGTTCCATGACTTGTGATAACCCTTGTAAGCACCTATGAATGAAATCTGGTCAGTGAATCATATTGTGGTACAGCTGGGAAGAACTCAAATTTGGCCCCAAAATAGATCTCAGTATTGTTGTTGCTAAAATCTAGGAAAAGTTCAAATAGAGAGCTAGACAGCAGAGGTGTGACCTTATTGGTTCTCCTGGATCTCTCAGTGGCTTTTGATACCATTGACCATGGTATCCTTCAGGGTTGTCTCACAGGGATGGGGCTGGGAGGCACTGTCTTACAGTGGTTCCGGTCCTAGTTGGAGAGCCATACCCAGAAGGTGGTGCTAGGGGACTCCTGCTGGAACCCCTGGTGATTGACCTGTGAGGTTCCTCAGGGTTTCATTCACCCAAGTTGTTTAACATATACCTGGCACCGCTGGAAGAGGCCATATAGAGTTTTGGAGTATGGTGCCACATATATGTGGATGACACCCAACTCTACTTCTCCTTTCCACCTAATGCCAAGGAAGCTGTCCTGACCCTAAACCAGTGCCTGCCATCAGTAATGGACTGGATGAGGGCAAACAAATTGAAACTTCATCCAGACAAGACAGTGGTACTCTTGGTCAGTCAGAGGGTAGATCAGAGAATACGGATTCAGGCTGTGCTGGATGGGTTTACACTTCCCCTGAAGACACAGGTCCACTGTTTAGGGGGTTCTTCTGGACTCTGCACGGAACCTGGAGGCCCAGGTATCTGCAATGGCCAGGAGGACCTTTGCACAATTAAAACTTGTGCACCAATAGGATCCATTACTTGAGAAGCCAGATCAGGCCATGTGATACATGCTTTAGTTAAATCCCATCTGGATTACTGTAACGCACTCTACGTGGGGCTGCCTCTGAAGAGTGCTTGGAAACTTCAGCTGGTCCAAAGAGCAGCAGCCAGGTTGCTCAGTGGGACTGTCTACAGGGAGCAGACAGCCCACCCGTTAAAGCAGCTCCACTGCCTGCCAGTCTGTTTCCGGGCACAATTCAAACTGCTGGTCATGACCTTTAAAGCCCTGGACAATTCAGGTACAGGCTATTTAGCTGACTGCATCCCCTTGTACGAACTTGCTTGGGCCCTGAGATCTTCAAGAGAGGCCCTTCTCTCGGTCCCACCTCCATCTCAAGCTTGGTTGGTGGGAACAAGAGAGTAGGGCTTCTCAGTGGCTGCTCCACAACTCTGGAACTCCCTGCTCAGGATAGACAGAATGCCCCTCACCTAAAACCTTTTTATCCAGACAGGGCTTTCAAATAAGAAGGCTTTAAGATCAATTCAGGGGGTCCTGTGCATTTAATATATTTGAATGGGTTTTAACTGTTAATTTTTAAATATTGTTTATATTTAATTTTGTTTTAATGTTTGCACATTTGTATGTTTTAAATTGTGTGCTAATGCTTTTATGTTAAGCTGCTTTGAGTCCCTTTCAGGGGAGATAAAGCGGGGCATAAATAAATGTAACAACAACAACCTTCAGCAGCACATAAGCTGTTTTGGTTAGTATTTCATTTTCTACCTAGGTATGCATTTATTTTTCTAAATATTGATCAAACTTTCATTTTCCAGTTTTGCTCTCATTCTTCAGTGATGTTTACTCTCCAAATAATTAAAGAGCACGCATCTGCCTTCATTTGTTTTCAATTCCACTTTCAGTATTTCATTCTATTAAGCACAAAGTTGGGTTCATTCTTATACCTTTGGCAATAAAAGAAAATAAACCTTCTGTTCCACACGAAAGCAATGCAAACAGACTCCGCTTATGCAATATACTGGCTAATGTACCATGGAACAAAAGCCAGAAAACTGGGAATATCAGTCCAAAACCCTACTAAAGTGAATAACAGTTAGCTGCAGAGATGCCTGGAAGCTCAATTTTCTCAGAATCAGTTTATTAAAAACTTACCAACAGATAGCACATGTATAAATGCCCAAAAATAGCCATCTGTATCAAACTGCAAAATAAAACATTAAGATAAACAGGTCATTCATGAGTTTCAAGAATGTATGGTTGCAAGAATAAAAATCTGACAGAAAGTACCACTACTTTGGATGCATGCCCTGCCTTGAGCTGCAAGGAGAGGTGGGTAATAAATCATAATTATGATTTTTACTATTATTATCAGCATCATCTACACTTTAGAATTAATTCAACATGACATCACTTTAACTGCCATGGAGTCATACAAGATGTAGTTTCACAAGGTCTTTAACCTTCTCTGCCAAATGGTGCTGATGCCTCAAGAAACTAAAACTTCCATGACAGCATAGTTTTGAGACATAGAAGCTAAAGTGGTTTCAAACCACAATAATTCAAGAGTGTAGGACCATCCTTTGTCTCCATTTCAGTTTTGTTGATTAGTTACTTCCATTTCATTTTCAGACTAGTCTATAAAAATCTAGAGAACCCAATGCAGTTGATGGCATTGCCATTCACCTCCTCCTCTTGCTCCTCTGAGTGAGTCAGTTTGGATGCAGGATAATAGCTTCATGCCTTCTCCATCTATGCTAAGCATGTCCTAAGACTGCAACCTAATTTCATGAAGGGCACATAACAGGGTGTCTTCTGAAGAGTCCAGATATCCAACAGATATATTTGTTGGATATATCCCATGGACATACTCATGAAGTATTAGGACACACAGCAGGGTATCTTTTGAAGAGCTCAAATATCCTACAGATATATCCGACCAACCATTTTTATTAGTCAATTGAAAACATGCAACTATTTAACACCGGCTGGGGGCAAAGCTCATCAACATTTGCTTAGATGGTACAACATGCAAATGAACTAGAGCATTGAACTTTATTTTCACAGTTTGTTCTGAAAAGATTCAAGAAACCTACCTGTGGATCATAAAAAGGAAGGCATCCTGCTGCCACCAGAAGAGTCAGCATTCTGTGTTGTAGAAAAATGCCACATGTTTATCATGCACTGACATGTATTCTACACACCCCTTCCACAAAGCTGAATAAAATCCCACATTATCTGCTTTGAACTGGAATATATGGCAGTGTGGACTTAGATAACCCAGTTCAAAGCAGATATTGTGGAATTTTCTACCTTGATATTCTGGGTTATAGGGCTGTGTGGAAGAGCCCTGAGGTGAGTTTTCAAAGCTATTATTGCTAACATTAGTATTTATCTGTAACACTGCCCGCAAGGAGCTCTTCTACACTCTTGATCTTTACTCATGGAAATACCATGAGCTTTTTGTGATCTGTGCTCCATGGCCCATCTGAGAATGGGCAACTATGGGCCCTTCTACACAGTCATATAACCCAGAATATCAAGGCAGATAATCTACAATATCTGCTTTGAACTAGATTATCTGAGTCCACACTGCCATATAATCCAGTTCAATGTGGATTTTAGATAGCTGTGTGGAAGGGGCCTAGCATCCCCAGATGTCTTTGACTTATGACTCCCATTAAGCATAGCTAGGATAGTTATGCTTAATGGTGCTCTCCAAAGCACCATCTAATCACATGGTTCTCAACCTGTGGGTCCCCAGGTGTTTTGGCCAGTTTACCAGCTGTTATAAGTTCTGGGAGTTGAAAGCCAAAATATCTGGGGACCCACAGGTTAAGAACCACTGATCCCATCTAAGACTCATTTTTGAAGTCACTTAAATGGGTAAAGGTGCACCTCAAAATCAATGAAATACTGTATTAAAAAACAAAACATGTATTGGTCCTGGTCCTTAGGAAATTATAGCTAATAGTCTTAAGGAGAGATGGATGTGATTGTGGCATCTGGCAAACCCTAAGGTTCAATCCACATTAAGGCCACTTATCCAAGTTCTCATTTCAAATCAAGTTAGGCCATGACTAATTTGACCCACTGCTTGTAATGAGACCCATGTTCCTGCTTCTTGACAGGGGGTTGGACTGGATGGCCCACGAGGTCTCTTCCAACTCTATGATTCTATGAAATGTTGCCTATGGAACAAAATCAATTTTCTATATATCTTGATGTCTGCATTCAAAGTTTCTTTGTGTTGAACTACTGATCATTTATCTTGTGAGGAACAAAAATGTTTTGAATTATTGTTCATATCTGACACAAGAATAAGCTGTTTGGTTAGTCAAGAGATAAACTATATGTGGAAGTCTATGAATCTTAAACATTGAAACTTACCTACATATTTTAATAGAAGATATCTGCTGTGAAGAAAATAATAGGTTATCAAAAGAGTGGAAAGATTACTTAAGGGAAAAAAAATATTTCATGTGCTTGAAGATTTTCTTGTATTATTTTTTTTGATCCACTACATTCCTGCATGGCTTTGATGTCTGCACAATGAGTGGTGTGTAAAATGTTTTACTATATAAGTAACATTGTTATGTATATATCTAGATTTTCAGATTTTTGAAAATGAAATTTTTGTTATGGTGACACTAGTAACAAAATCAGGAAACTGACATTGCATGGTTTCTACAATACCTTCTAAAACATAGCCTAGGTATGGATAAAATATATTATTTTATTTATTTGCATAAAATGTATTATTCTCTTCCCCTTTTTGTTGCGGGAGTAGATTATTATCCAAATGATGAAGGTGGTTTTGCCTTAGCAGAAAGAGCTTCCATTGGCATAAATACAGATACTTCATTATTTCTGATCCTGCCTATTCACTAAAGCCCCAGTTCCGAAAATCTGCTTTTGACCCTCTGGGACCCTTTCTACACCGCCATATAAAATCCAGATTATGCTATTTGAACTGGATTATATGGCAGTGTATACTCAGACAATCCAGTTCAAAACAGATAATGTGGATTATCTACTTTGATAATCTGGATTATATGGCAGTGTAGAAGGGACCTGAGAAAGAACGGCATAGTACAAAGATCTATAGTAGATAGGTGCAGAGCCTGGAAAAAATAGTTTTGAGGACTTGAAATTTTCAGAATTCCCCAATTAGCACACCCATTGGCCATGCTGGCTAATGGGATCTAGGAGTGATCGTCTAAAAAGGGACCCTTTCCAAGTCCTGAGTAGGAAGTCAAAATGAAAATGAAGAAGACACTTCAACAAGGCATCATCAGCATAGGAGGAGCCTCCAATGGAGCAATGGATTAAACCCTTCTGCCAGCAGGACTACTGACCAAAAAGTCAGCAGTTTGAACGTAGGGAGTGGGATGAGCTTCTGTCTGTTAGCTCTAGCTTCTCATGCAGGGACATGAGAGAAGCCTCCCACATGATGATAAAACATCTGGTGTTCCCTGGTCCTTGCAGATGGCCAATTCTCTCACACCAGAAGTGACTTGAAGTTTTTCAAGTTGCTCCTGACATGGGAAAAAAAATCAGCACAAAATACAGCTTTTGTTCTGGATCTGCAATTTAAAAAAATCTAAGTTTGTAAAAGGATTATCTAGCACAACTAAGAAAATATAGAGTTGATTTAACAACTTACATACCCTCAAAACAGATACCTTACTCTAAAATAAATCTAATGTTGCCATACCTCTTTCTGCACAAACGTTTCGATTCCATACATTACAACTTCTGCAGCATTGTGTAAGGTAAGAAAGATAGGAATTGGCTGCCAGGAAATAAAATGTGACCAATGAGATTAGCAACTGTTATTTAATCATCTTTTTGTGAGGTAGTACTAAAAAGCAGGCATTTTCTAATGAACCTGCAGAATTACAGAACACGACAGAAAGACGCATCACCTCTCCAACATGTGATTAACCTTTCCAGTTGTTGTATATGTAATACACTTCAAACCAAGCAGGCCATTTCTATGTCTACATTTTAAAATGTTAAGGTAATGAGAATGTAAGAAGTACAGGGAGCAAGGAAATTAACCTCCTATTCTTATGTTCTAACAATGGTCCCATTTTTTACATACTGCCATCAGAATAAATGCTAAAGCTCTGGCAAACATGGCATTGAGAACTGAGAGAATAAGAGAAGCACCATAAAACTTTAAACAAAATGCAATACTTAATAGTTTTTAGAGACTCAAACGTTTTCTGGGAACCAGTGGAGTTCCCTAACTTTCCAGTTGCTTTCCCTTTTTTGTGACTGACAGAATGAAAAGGAGGCCAGAATCTAACATAGGTCCCTTGAATCAGAGCACAATCATCGGAAACTTCAGAATTAATGCTTTCCTAGGAAAGTTGACCCTAGGCTTTACATTCCTCCTTTTCTGCAGACATGTTAACAAACACACACACACATCCCCTTCCCCTCCCTTTTGCTAGTGGCTCTGCCTTGAGCCAAGAGAAATGTATTCTCCTGCCAACAATGGCTCCGGTTTGCCCAGCTCTGCTAACCTTCACCAGATGTTTATTGTCTTTGATTATATTTTTTGGTAGCGTTATTAGCCTTTCATAATAAAGGAAAGCACAGTATGTTGGGCTTGCCAGCCAGAAGGAGCAGATTCCCATCCCTTCAGATTCACAATCCCACCAAAACATTTTAAGACTTATGATAATCTACGAGATCTGAATTCAGTTCCAGAACTAGACTCTTTTAAAAGAGAGAAAGAGGAAGGGAAGGAAGAAAAAAGAAAAGAAAAAGGAAACAGGCAGGCAAACACACAGAGCCAAACAGGATCCAAGTCTACAGACTGCAGCCTGGTCAGAACATAATGTTTTGCCAGGTTTATGATCCTTCCTGCTCAAAGGTCTATCTAATATTCTATTTCCACAGTGGTCCATCAGTTGCTTATGGGAAGCTTGCCAGCAGTACATGACAAAAACAGCCCCATCTCTCTAAAATCACCAAGCAATTGATTATTTATTTTATTTTATTTTATTTAAAACTTTTATACCCCAATCTTCTCTACCTCCGTAGATTGATGCAGGCTGAGTATCCCTTACCCAAAATGCTTGGGAATAGGAGTATTTTGGATTTCTGATTTTTTCCAATTTTGGGAAACTTATATTTGCATATTTGTTGTTTATTCGTTCAGTCGCTTCTGACTCTTCGTGGCTTCATGGACCAGCCCACGCCAAAGCTCCCTGTCGGCTGTGGCCACCCCCATCTCCTTCAAGGTCAAACCAGTCACTTCAAGGATAACATCCATCCATCTTGCCCTTGGCCAGCCCCTCTTCCTTTTTCCTTCCATTTTCCCCAGCATCATTATCTTCTCCAAGCTTTCCTGTCTTCTCATGATGTGGCCAAAGTACTTCATCTTTGCCTCTAATATCCTTCCCTCCAGTGAGCAGTCGGGCATTATTTCCTGGAGTGTGGACTGGTTTGATCTTCTTGTAGTCTAAGGCACTCTCAGGATTTTCCTCCAGCACCACAGTTCAAAAGCGTCTATTTTCCTTTATTCAGCCTTCAGCTCTCACATTCATAGGTCACTACAGGAAATACCACTGCTTTAACTATGTGGCTCTTCCTTGCCAGTGTGTTATCTCTACTTTTCACTATTTTGTCAAAATGGGGCATTGCTCCCCCTCACCCCCGCAAAGGAAGGAAATGTCTTCTGATTTCCTGGCTGCAGTCTGTCTTTGAGCCTAGAAATACAAAGTCTGCCACTGCCTCCACGTTTTCTCCCTTTATTTGCCAGTTATCAATTAGTTTGGTTGCCATAATCTTGGTTTTTTAATGTTTAACTGCAACCCAACATTTGCACGTTCTTCTTTCACCTTTCACCTCAGCTCCTCCTTGCTTTCAGAAAAGTGGTATCATCCACATATCTCAGGTTGTTAATGTTTCTTCCAGCAATTTTAACTCCAGCCTTGGATTCATCAAGCCCCACACGTCACACGATGTGTTCTGCATACAAGTTGAATAGGTCGGGTGAGAGTATACAACCCTGCCGTACTCCTTTCCCAATCTTGAACCAGTCAGTTGTTCCATGGTCTGTTCTTACTGTTGCTACTTGGTCGTTATACAGATTCCATAGGAGTCAGACAAGGTGACTTGGTATTGCCATACCACCAAGAACTTGCCACAATTTATTATTTGCATATATACATACATAATGAGATATCTTGGAGATGAGTTTAAATTCATTTTATCTTTTCTCTATACCATATATGCATAGCCTGAAGGCTCTATCTGTACCAGTAATTTTCTACAGTATTTGGAATGAAAATAAATTTCTGTACATAGAATGCCAGAAAGCAGAGTTATCATTATCTCAAGACACCCATGTGGCTGATTTTGGATTCTGGGATTGCAGATAAAGGGCGTTCAACCTGTACACAAAAATATACCCCTTCTGGTATTACAAATGATATATAGGCAATTTAACTCAGCATTGATCTCAACCCCCTTCAATTTATCCAGAGTTTCTTTAAAACCATGCTTCCAGTTTTAGCTATGTCTTCTGGCAGTGATTTCCACATATTACATAGACAAATTATGAAGATGTTTTGCTTGATTCAATAACATTTTTGTACTTATCCTTTTGTAGTACTGCTCATTAAATCTCAGAGGGAGTCAAGCAGTTGCGAATTCAAATACAACTTTTTCAAACTCTATAAAAAGCAGCAGCTAAAATAGTAATTGTGTCTATTGATCATTCTGTGCAGGCATGAATTTCTAGCTTGTCTTTCCTTTGACAAATGAATACCAGAAGCTATGGGTTTTTTGCTGACACATGATTCTGGTTCATCTAGCATTCTAGCAAGAGACTTCCCACCATTCCTACTTCTCATGTAACAAGAAACAAATGATGGCCTGTGACTCTAACATCATCACCATTTCTCTCCTGTATGATTTTTAACATCTTTGCCTGAAAATGCCAGTGAAGCTTCAGAAAAATTTCATACTGTATTTTATGTTTTGGAGTTGGCCCAGTAAGCGTATTGCTGCTTGTAAATTTTGGACTTTATGGTATTTTGCTGCACGACCAAAAAGGCAATATTAAGTATATTAGCTGGTGATATTAAGTATATTATCATGCACGAAGTATCAAACGGTTTCTTCACAGCTTTCCATTCAAACACACACACAAACTGGGTAGTTGTAGGTTTTTCGGGCTGTATGGCCATGTTCTAGAAGCATTCTCTCCTGACATTTCACCTGCATTTTGTGGCAGGCATCCTCAGAGATTGCGAGACCTCACAACCTTTGAGGATGTCTGTCACAGATGCAGGCAAAACGCCAGGAGAGAATGCTTCTAGAACATGGCCATGCAGCCCTCAAAACCTACAACAACCCAGTGATTTCGGTGATGAAAGCCTTCGACAATACGCACACAAACAATACTGAATGAAAATTAAGACAGAAATGATAGTTAAAGGGGTTGTTTCCACACTACGGAGGAAGGGCTTATTCCTTCTGACTTTCTTTGGAAAGCAGGGTACAGGACATTTAAGTTAGCCTACGTGCTTCTAACCAGCTGAATGCAAAGCAAAGCAGAGGAAGAGCCCTGGAGCCAAAACATTTCAGAGCAAAGGAAAAGGCTAACTAATTCACAGATGTCCAGGAGACTCTTTGCAAGTTGCAGCAACAAATCATTCAAGCATTACAAATTGTAACAAGCACACAGCTGGCAGGAGAACTCAACGCAATCGTCTCCCCAGAGCTAAGACCACCAAACTTTAATATGATTTTTTAAAGTTACGAAGTAACAGTAACAGCATTAACATTGACCATAAAAGGCTACGTCAGACTCAATGTCTACAGATATCTTACCAATCTGGATAAGGCCCTGGAACCTGAGTAAATGATGCCCACAAAAAGTGCAGACGCTGGAAGCCACGACAGAACATCTGACCTATAAAAACACATCAAGCATGCCATTACAACTGTTGCATTACCATACAATGAAAACTGTGTGCATGTATGTGCCTCCAAGCTTCCTCTGCTTCCATGAATTTCATATGTATTTTTAGGCAATCCTCAGAGGTGGTTTTGTCTATCCCTTCTTCTGAAATATAACCTACAAGCACTTCATATTTGTTGGCAGTCTTCCATCAATCTACTAAGCAGCGATGACACCATCTAACTTCCAAGATCAGATGGTATCTGCTGCCCTTAGGGCAGGCATCCTCAAACTGTGTCCTTCCAGTTTGGGCCTCCAGTTCCCAGAATTCCTGACCATTGAACAAGCTGGCTAGGTCTTCTGGGAGTTGGAGGCTAAAACAGCGAGAGAGATGCATGTTGAGCAATGGTTCTCAATCTGTGGGTCCCCAGATGTTTTGGACTTCAACTCCCAGAAACAGCTGATAAACTGGCTGGAATTTCTGGGAGTTGTAAGCCAAAACACCTGGGAACCCACAGGTTGAGAACCACTGATGTTGAGGATGCCTGCTTTACTGTATTTAGGCTCCACACTGGGAACTACCAACACCTAAGTTAAAGTATCCAATATCCACTTAGCCAATTACAGATGGCTAGGTGTATATTCTATAATACTTGCTCACCATCCCTATCCGGAATTTCAAAATCCAAAATCCTGTACTCCAAAATCCAAAGCTGTCCACATGGGTAATAGAGACAGTGACGCACATGCTTTCTGATGTTTCGAAGTACACAAACTTTGTTTTATGCACAACATTATTTTAATATATTATGTATAAAATTACTTTCAAGTTATGAGTATGAGATATGTATGCAACCTAAATGAATTTTGTGTTTTAGACTTGGGTCCCATCTCATCATGCATGTACCATAAAGAGAGTAAAATCATAAATGTAATAATAATAATAATAATAATAATAATAATAATAGAGTAAAATAATGGAAATGTAATAATAACAGTAATGACAGAGTAGAATAAATGTAATAGTAACAACAATAATAGAATAAAACAATAAATGTAATAATAATAAAAAGGTAATAAATGTAATAATAACAATAATAAATAGAGTAAAATAATAAACATAATAAAAATAATACTATTAGAGTAAGGTAATGGAAATGTAATAATAATTATAATTATAATAAATAGTGTAAAATAATAAATGTAATAAAAATAATAATAACCCAGTAAAATAATAAATAACTTTGACTTGAGTGTAAGCCGAGGGGGGGCTTTTTCAACCTAAAAAGGGGGCTGAAAAACTTGGCTTATATTTGCGTATGTACAGTATATGCAAATACAGGTTTTCCAAAGTCAGAAACAACTGAAATCCAAAACACTTCTGGTCCAAAGCATTTCAGTTAAAGGATATTTAACCTGTGCCTTTTACGGTCATTGGGCACAGTGGAAACTTGTCTGAATCAAACTGGCATCTACTGTAATTCCACTGCTGCTAACTTGAAATCAAATGCCTACTCAGAACGAGGCATGCAATTTCAGCTTCAACAAGAACGGAAAAATAAAGCTCCAAAGCCTGAGAACTAGATCTCTGTATGGAAAACAGAGATCATTGACCACAAGGTGAAGTCTTAGGCATCCCTGAAATGTTTGCATTTCTAACACAGTCATGTAAAAATGTGTTGGAAAAGGCCATTATAACAGTTCCCACGAGGTAATTGCAGGATTTCTGTGCTGCTAATAGGACTCTTAATTTTTTCATTTCAGGGCAGGAAAAGAATGTCTAACAGGACAGGAAATACTTGAATAGCAGTCCTCACTCTTACATGTCAAGCCAAACACAAGTCAGGCTCAGAGACGCCTATAATGACTGTGCAATTTAGGGTATTTATTCACAAGTAGAAAGAAATGTATGACTTAAGGATCAGAAACTGCACCATATAACACTTACTTATTTGCAGAGCATTATTATCTATTTGTTGTTACACTTCCAAAGGAGGCAAAAAGTAAATCCCATCTGAACATGTTAAAAAATCCTGTGATAAGAGCCACCAGAAGTGAGAAATGATTCAAAGGCACACAACAACAACAAAATAGTGCACTGTTTATATATTTATATGTAGTTTCTCTTTATGGTTTTATATAATTCTTTGAGAGCGTATAGAGACTTAAATGGCTGATTGTTTATTTGGAGGAAGAAAATGCTAGGAAAATATTCATATGAAACAGCACACTTTCAAATCTTAGCACAGTTATAACTCCAGTTGCAGCCTCACGAGCAGAATATGCATGCCAATTGCCTTTTAATTTTGTTGGGTTTAGGTACAAATGAAGCCCCCCCCCCCCAAAGGAAACCATGAGTAAACAACTCATTAATCCCAAAGATCACTAAACACAGTGAAAATCTCACAATTTCCACATAAGCTGAATCTTATGCCATTAATGCTAGTTAAAATTCTTGACATTATAGTATTTATTTTTCTTCAAGCTACTAACTCATTTGACTGTACATGAAAATGTAGTTTTGGATACACATATAGTCCTCAGAATATGTCAGTCTTAGAATTAAACATCGCCATCAGTTTCGGCACCTAAATGAAGCTGGCATCAGGACATAACAGGCCTGCAATATTTTACAAATATTGCATGGTAGAATGGCTATGCCTCTTCTTTTCAGGTAAAGGTCTAACTTTCACACAGGAGAAACATATTGGTTGAAGACATCTAAGGGGGGCTTCTTTGCTTTGTTGTAAAACACCTTCCCTTGGAGACCAGATTTGTGCTGATGCTGGCTGTCACTCCTCTAAATGTTCCTCCAGCAACAGCAAGAATATCCCTGTGAGCAGCAAAATCAGGCAATTCCAACTGAGTGGTCCACACGAGGGTCTTCCTCCAGGGGCAAACCAAGAATGGGCAACTTGGAAGTCCCTGAACAGACTCAGAAGCAGAGTTGGCAGATCAAAAGACAACCTGGCAAAATGGCACTACCTAGAAGAACCATCCACCTTGTGCAACTGTGGAGAAGAACAAACAATTCAGCATATGTATGCTTGCCCACTATGCCCAGAATCATGCACAGAGGAAGAACTGTTTAAAGCTACAGACAATGCAGTTGCTGTTACCCGTTTTTGGTCTAAAACTATCTAGCAGCTTGTGGTCCCTTTATTTTATCAGTTCTAGACTTATCTATTTAGGCAATGCTTTAGACAAGAAATAATAATAATAAAGCTGTCTTATCTGAGCAGGAGTCAGAAACAAATAGAAAAACTATTGATGTGGAACTTTAAAAACATTACAGTAAAAAACACGAAACAGTCCTTTGAGGACAAGGTTATTATTTCTGTGACTTGCAGTGCTTGGATTGCCATCTTTTACACATCAGTACAGGAATGGAGCTGGCAATTCTACCTTATATTTGCCTTGCTTAGACTGACATCTAGTGGAGTGCTAGACGACTCCAAAAACAGATTTAAAAACTATCAAAATTGTTATGTGCTGCTGCTTCTCTGAACAGGGTATATATAGTGATGCAAGTAAGAAGTAAAATTATTTGTTAGTTTGTTTATGTCAGTTTACTTCTTGCACATTTCCTGTTGTCTCCTCAGTGTGGTGTAGCGGTTGAATATAGGATTATGAACTCTGCAGAAAATCTCTGCTCCAAGGGACAGCAACAATGACTAGAAGACTCAGAAGACGTTTGACACTGAAGTGAAGATGATTGGAAGCCAAAACCTCAACCCCCTTTTACCTAAGCCCACTCTCCCTATTCAAACCTACCCCACACCCCCAAATCCTTTACCATGGTCCTTGTCCTCACCTCCCCTTCTTTTTCCTTTTATCTTATTTCTGTGACAAAAACTTTAATAAAAATTTATATGAAAAAAAATCTCTGCTCCACCGTGGAAACCCACTGGGTGACCTTGGGCAAGACACACTCACTCAAGTTTCAGAGGAAAGTGAAGGCAAAGCTTTTCTGGAAAAAAAATCTTTTAAAACAACCCATTATAGCCTGAGGGATGCCATAAATCAGGAATAATCTGAAGGCACACAATAACAGCAATGACAAAACTAAAACAGCCCAGAGGGGGCAAAAATGTAGTGCAATAGCATGCATGTCCCCTGGAAAGCATTTAACCCAAGGTTAAAAAAAATCAAAACATTCTGGCTAAGATAATATTTTGACTTTTTCAACTCAGGTTAAAATGCCTTCTGTCATTCTGCCATGTACATTTTACTTGCTATCAGCTACATGTTAAACCAAAGTACTGATAGGAATTAAGAATTTTCTATTCTTGTTTAGACGTCAGAGTACATTTTTAGCACAAGCACTCAAAATATTCCCTTAAAAGATTTTTTTAAAATACTGTTCATTGTTGTGCAGCATTATCAGGTAAAACAAAGAGGAAGGCTGAATATGTAAGTCAGGGGTCCTCAAACTAAGGCCCGAAGGCCAGATACAGCCCTCGAAGGTCATTTATCCGGCCCTTGCTCAGGGTCAACCTAAGTTTGAAAAGACTTAAAAGCACACAACAACAACAACAACAACAATCCTATCTCTTCAGCCAAAAGCAGGCCCACACTTCCCATTGAAATATCAATAAGTTTATATTTGTTAAAATTGTTACTCATTTTAATTATTGTATTATTTTAAAGTGTTTTTTGCACTACAAATAAGATATGTGCAGTGTCCATAGGAATTCATTCATGTTTTCTTCAAATTATAATCCAGCTCTCCAACAGTGTGAGGGACTGTGACCTGGCCCTCTGTTTAAAATATTTGAGGACCCCTGATGTAAGTGATCTTACATAGTCCTAAAAATTAAAAATAAAACTTCTAGTTGGAGATTTCATCTGCTATCTAATGTTGGGATGTCTGCTTTAAGTACTTGTGCTTAATTAAAACTTGTGTGCCAGCTGCGCCCGTACCTTGGGAAGTCGGATCTGGCCACGGTGGTCCACGCTCTTGTTACATCCTGATTAGATTACTGCAACGCACTCTACGTGGGGTTGCCTTTGAAGACTGTTCGGAAACTCCAACTAGTCCAGCGAGAGGCAACCAGACTGCTCACCAGAGCGTCATACAGGGAGCATACCACCCCACTGTTGTGTCAGCTCCACTGGCTGCCGATCCAYTTCCGAGCACAATTCAAAGTGTTGGTTTTGACCTATAAAACCCTATACGGCTCCGGCCCAGTGTATCTGTCTGAATGGGTCTCCCTCTARGTCCCACCCCGGAGTCTAAGATCGTCTGGGGAGGCCCTGCTCTCGACCRCGCCTCTATCACAAGTGAGGCTGGTGGAGACGAGGAGCAGGGCCTTCTCAGCGGTAGCCCCCTGCCTGTGGAATTCGCTCCCCGGGGAAATCAGATCAGCGACATCACTCCTTTCCTTCAGGAAAAAACTGAAAACTTGGATTTGGGATCAGGCATTCAGATAACCYGGCAGATAAAGAAAGGACTTTGACAATGGCCAGGAAATGACTAATGGAATGGAATTTGGAACTCTGAAAGACTTACGCTGAGCATGTGAATAGTTTTATATGATGCTTTGTATATTGATGTTTTGATTGTTTTTAATTTGCGATAATTGTTTTAACTATGGTGGTTTGTACATTATGTGTAATTTGTATAGGCATCGAATCGTGCCTTTTCTGTAAGCCGCCCTGAGTCCCCCCTCGGGGGTTGAGAAGAGCGGGGTAAAAGTACCCGAAATAAATAAATAAAACTTTCTAATCCAAATAATCTGCAATGTTGATATACAACAGTGTGGGAATGGAAAGAAAAAAAATGCATACACTCATGATCCTGGGACACAATGCATACATTGTAAAAGCATTAAAGAAACATCTCAGTTACAATGGGTATTTAGAAAATTAGTGTGGGTTCAAATAATTACCCATGTCAAAGCTTTTACTACATTATGAGAAACACAAATGCATACACAGACAAAATCAAAAAATCAAATAAGGTGATAAGGTGGCAGTGGATATTAGTCAGAATAATGTGGCATTCTGATTACTATACTATATACTACTATATTACTATATACTATTATACTACGTAATTTCATTGCACCTTGAGCTGATGGAGATTTCTACCCAGCCGATCTTCCAGGAAATGTGTAGGAGAAATCCACCAACTAGTGTCTGCCATCTGAAATTGAAACATGCAATAATCACTTTCCCCCTCCAAAACAATCAACCCAGGTCAATCATTAGTCATACTGTAGCCTTCTTCCATAAGTAACAGCTTGGGAATTCAGTAGAAACATCAATAAAATCTAGTTGATGGTGGGAATTTGTGTAAAACAGGCCACATGTTTTGCATATAGTGTAGTTGCCATTGAGCTAGGGAGAAGTGTGGCCTGACAAAGTCAATTTCTATAATTATCCAAGCTTCCTAATTTCCACCAATAATTTTCATCTTGTCATTGGGCTGCAATCAACAATTAATGTGGAAAATTTGATATGAAATTTGATGTACATTTTTTAAAAAGTAGCACACACTTGCTGAGTGGCCCTACACAAGCCATTGCTGTGACTCAAGGTTAATCCTCTCATACAATCCTTTTATTAACTGTGTTTCCTTTCATCAGCTATGTTGAGAGGCCAAATGGATCCAGCTACTTCTCCCTATGAACGGTGCCATAACTCTAACCAATGAGTTTTCTTCCCTAGCTTAAACACACACATATATCTCCTCCAACAAAAGGAGATTATAAATCTACTGCCAAGGACTGTCTTCCTTATTATGTAACCAGTCTTTGAGCCTTTTCAGCTGAAAAACAAAAATGGACAAAACAAATATATAACACAATACAGTATAGTACAGGTTGAGTCTCCCTTATCTGAAATGCATGGGACCCAACGTTTTTTTGGATTGTAGATATTTGGGGTTTTGCTGAATACCTGTATTTACATATACATTGTAAATGAGGGGTTGTAGGAAAGAGGGCTAGTGACACATCCAGCACCCATGGTTTTTTGCATTACTTGTGTGGACAGGGTTATGATAAAGCTGCTAATATGAGTGGTCATATTAGTGGTCTACAGGCAATTATATTGCAGAACTATCAAATGGCTATACATCCACTGCATGTGATAGACAGTTTTTTCCGAATGTGAAGAAACTTCTTCAGATTTCTGCAATATTGCCAGTACCAACAGCTACAAACGTAAGGTCGTTTTCAACTCTTAAACATTTGAGAACATATATAAGAAGCACAATGGGGCAAGAAAGACTGACTGGACTTGTACTCTTGAGCGTCCACTAAAGTTTATCCATGGAGACTGATTTCTGTCAAAGTGTATTGACACAGTTTTCAAGTGTTTCTAACAGATATTGAGGTATTCTTTTGTAACCACTAAATTACCAATTTAGAGTTATTTTCATTTTTTTTAGATCTGAAACTTTGTAGCTAAAATAGAAATTTGATTTAATTAAATCTATATAAAAATATAGAATGAGTCATAGAATAGAAATTATTTTGTGTTATGCACCTACTATTCATGATTGGCTAAAAAAATTTAAATTGTTTCAACTCCAACTCCTCCCCTCCCCCTCCCCCCATTTCTTTTTCTGGCTACAGGCCTGCCACCATCTGCTTTTGACAGGGGTTTTGTATAAGGCAAGACAGAAATGGACTTCTCAGTCCTGAGCCTTTAACACTAGCAGTTGTGAAGGGCTGATTGTAGAGCAGGTATGGTCAAACTTTGGCCCTCCAGGTGTTTTGGACTTCAACTCCCACAATTCCTAACAGCCTACTGGCTGTTAGGAATTGTGGGAGTTGAAGTCCAAAACACCTGGAGGGCCAAAGTTTGACCATGCCTGTTGTATAGTATAATATCGCATAGTATTGTAAACTTAATATAATGTAATGGTGATAATAAGGTTGCACTGGTAGCACTAGCCAATGCTTAGCTTCCAAGATCTGTTACCTTCAAGGTATTTAGATAACCATGTTTAATACTGCTACAGTTGATTAACAGAGATGAGATTAGCCTGACTTGATGATGACAACTAATTTACAATCTTGAGATCACAATGACTCAATGAGTTTTGTTTGTTATTGGTATGATAATGATTTTAAAGAGCTGATGAATGTTCATTCAACAGGAGCTAACAGACTGCACTGGAATCCTTGGCCAAAATCCAACTGTCAGTCTTGATAAAAGCAGTATCATTTAACCAATAAGATTTACATAAATGATGACTTACCATTCAGCTGCTGATTCAGTGAAACTACCCTATACTGGACTAGTAATTAGATTGAGGTTATTGGCTTACTGAGGCTATCAGAAAATGATACACCCCTTTACCCTAGAACAGTGGCTCTAGATGTTTTGGATTTCAGCTCCCACAGTTCCTAAGAGCTGGTAAACTGGCTGGAGTTTCTGGGAGTTGAAGTCCTAAACATGTGGAAGTTGTTGCACTGCCCCTGTGGAAGATGTGTGCCTATGGCATAGCAGCTTTAGACACACGGGAAGATAATGCTGAAAGCAGAATTGGGAACTTTCAGCGATACAAAATATACGAGGGTTGAATGAAAAGTAATGTCTCCACCTTCGTCACTTGGGTTTGGATGGGCATATTTTAATAAATCAAACGCAGAAATAATCCTTAGAATGTGCTCTTTGACTACCACTATTCACTTTTCCACACAATCACCAATTGGATACATTTCTGCTAACAATGAACAAGTTTTCTGAAGCCATCACAGAGGAAGTCGACACGCTGTTTCCACAACCAGCGTCTCACAGTTCTCTCATCCTGGGTACTCATCGTGCACAGATCTTCCGATAGCCAAGCAAAGCAATAATGTGACACACACGCGTTCTTGTGAAATGCTGATTATGCTTGAAATTTCTCTCTGGGTGATACGATGATTGTCCTGAATCAATCTGTCAACCTTCTGCTTGTGAAACCCAGTGGTTGCTGTCACAAGACGTCCAACTCTCTGTTTGTCACGCAAGTCAGATGTTCCCACCTCAACATCTTTAAACTTACTCGCTCAACCATGCACAGTACTCACATCAACACATTCACCATAAACGGCTTGCATTCTCTGATGAATCTCCTTTGGGGTGACACCTTCTGCTGTCAAGAATTTAATGACTGCATGTTGCTTAAGTTGCATTGACCAACCGTCTGCATAGGGTTCCATACTTCGCACTTTAACAACAAAACCGTTCAATGCTAAGGCTTCCCGGTAAAATGGAACTGTAGAGGAGAGTCTACTGAACAACCCAGTACCTGATGCATACCAGTACTGCCATCTGTTGAGGAGTTACGAAGGTGGAGGCATTACTTTTCATTCAACCCTTGTACAATTGTATCTAGGTGAGGAACAATGGAGGTTACATGTAATGCTTACAGCAACTTATTGATTTAGGGTGTATCTCCACTGTAGACGTAATGCAGTTTGACACCACTTCCATGGCTCAATGTTATGAAATTCTGGGATTTGTAGTTTGGTGAGGCATCAACATTCTTTGGTAGAGAAAGCTGAAAACCTTGTAAAACCATAAATCCTATAATGCCACAACATTAAGTCATGTCAGTTAAAGTGGCATTAAGCTAAAATAATTTTACAGTGTAGATGCATCATAAGACTCGTTCAAATTGTTTTAAAATTGTACTTACCCTTGGAAAAGAGTAGGGTAGGTGAATTTCAAGACAGACAAGACATACTGGAAAACAAATACCAAATCAGAGGACATTACTTACTCAAAATACATACAAACAGGCGACAGGGAAAAATTAATTCCTGCACGAATATTAATCAATGTTAACAGAATATCATTCTGTTATGATCCCCCTCAGAGGTGGACAAATGTGAGCTATGGGCTGCATGTGACCCCTGAAACTCCACAGGGATCAAACATGTTTCTTGCTCTCAAATGATCCAAAATGAGTACTGAAGTGTGTGGGAGGTGTTTCCACCTGAGCTCCCAGGGTTAAATATCAATTAATCTTAAAATCAGGATTTCCATGCCATCAAATCACCAATTTCATTTTGGCCCTTTTCACACAGTTGAATAAAATCCCACATCTGCTTTGAACTGGGATAACTGGCAGTGTGGATTCAGATATCCCAGTTTAAAGAAGATATTGTGGGAATGTTCTGCCTTGATATTCTGGGTTATATGGCTGTGTGGAAGGGTCCGTAGGTGCTCTTCACACTCTTTTTTGGTTCAACCACCCTATATTTAATATCATCCCTAAATGTGGCCTTTCGATCACATATTTCTAAATGTATTGGTTGTGCTGTGATCTGCCATTGAGTCAACATTGTTGTACAACAACCCTAAAAATGAGACAACTCAAGTCAACCTTCTCATTAGCTACTGGGGGCCCTTCCACATGGCCATAAAGCCCAGAATATCAAGGCAGAAAATCCCACAATATCTGCTTTGAACTGGGTTATCTGAGTCCACACTGCCATATTATCCAGTTCAAAGAAGATAATGTGGGATTTTATTCAGTTGTGTGGAAGGGGACTGAGATCTGGGTTTCTTTGGTTGCATGACCATCAAAGTGTTGAGCTTTCAAGTGATTGGCAACATGAAACAGAAGATACAAACAGAAGGCATCTAACACTTTTGCTATTGGTAGGATTACTATTTCGGTGAGTTTGTTCAAACGTCAATCTTGTATACACTTATGTGCAAGAAAATCCCAATAACTCCAGAGTATAAATGCATAGGACGGTATTGTTAGCACATGAATTAGCATCTGCAGGCACCACTGCAGCTTCCCAGACAGGTATGCTTCAACAGTTAAATAAAATTATAGAAGTAACTGTACAACAGTTAAAAGGTTAGCATTTATGTATGTATTTGTATTGATACATAACGAGAAAGGAAATGCAGCTGTTAACATATAACCACATCTAGCAAGTGATATAGCTAGCTGTCCCCAGCCATGCGTTGCTGTGGCCCAGTCTGTGTTTGTGTTTTGTGTGTGTATATGTGTTGTGTGTGTATATGGTTTTGCGCATGTATTGTAAATTTTGTGGTTTTTTGGCTTTTTAAGTTTCTTCTGCTGTGTTTTTCAGTGTTTTTATGAGTGATGGTCACTTGTTGGCCTGATAGGTGTATTGTGTCCAAATTTGGTGACAATTTGTCCAGTGGTTTTTGAGTTATGTTAATCCCATAAACGAATATTACATTTTTATTTATATAGATAAATATAATTCTGGGACATCATCATCATCATAATAAACTTTATTTATATACTGTCTTATCTCCCCAAAGGGACTCATGTATGTATGTATGTATATATGTATACACACATTTGCGCACACACCTTTTAGAAATGTAATTGTAATTGTTGCTATAGTGGACATGTTTGTTTGCATATTGTTTTATCTACAGGTTGTTTGTTTTGTTTGCATATTGTTGTACCTTATTTTGGAATATTAATTGGACTTCAATAAGTAGTATTTTAAAGAGAAAGCAATGCAATTCCTTTCGTTATATCACTACCACTCTGGTATCAATGCGTGCATCTACACTGTAGAGCTAATTCGTTTTGACACCACTTTAATTGCAGAGGCTCAACACCATGGAAACCCGGGAATTGTAGTTTTGCAAGGTCTTGAGCCTCCTCTGCCAAAGAGGGCTGGTGCCTCATTGAACTACAACACCCAGAACTGTATGGCCCTTCAATCACACTGCCAAAGTGCAGAGCAGGAGAAGTTCGCTGTCCTCACCTTGTTGGTGAAATAAGAGGCCAAGAAGAACAAGCAGAAGGCGAGACCGGCTGCGGGTCTCTTTAAAGGCATCAGTCAAAGCATTTCGTCGGTCCACGAAGAGGAAGTAAGGCTCTGCTTGCCTATGGCCATCTGCTCAAGGAACCAGGCAGAACGCTGCTGCCATGACAGGGACACGTTGCCGGTGCGTCTCCTCCAATGGGCGCAGAGGAAAACTCCCAGGAACCGCCTACTTAAAGGGACAGCGCTCCTTTCTGGGTCTCAGGACAAGATGCCACATAGCCCAACTCCTCTTAAAAGGATCACAGCTTTTGTAGCTTATAATTATAGCCAATCTTCCCTGTTTGCAAGGTTTAGGGGTATAGGACTCCCGTGAAAGTGAAAAACAGCAAATAAAAGAAATTGATATTTTTTTAAACCTGAGAGAACACCTTTCTAGGGATTTTGAGGATTTCCAGCAGGAGTTTATTGTCAATAGAAACCCCCAAGTCCTCCAGCACATGACTACACAAAAGTCAAAATTAACAAACTCATGTATATGTGTGTGTGTGTGTGTGTGTGTGTGTGTGTGTATGTAAATATTTTGTAAACATTTACCTACAATTTCCCACCTTCCCACGTATGGTGACTTTTGGGACACCCTGTAAAGTGAAGAATTTAGATTCCTTGAGAGAACATTTTAAATCAAACCTGGACAAGTCAAAACTACAACTGTGGCCCTTTCTACACTGCCATATAAAATCCAGATTAACCACTTTAAACTGGATTATATGACAATGTCGACTCGTATTAACCACTTCAAAGCAGATCATGTGGATTAGCTGCTTTGATAATCTGGATTATATGATAGTGTGAAAGGGGCCTGTACCATCCCTTGTCAAGAAATGTAAAATTGGTAGCTGAGAGTGTGTCACCATTGCTTTCTGGTGGTTCAATATATGCAAACTTTTGTTTCCCGAACAAAATTATTAAAAGTACCGCATCAATTAAGGAGTGTTTGTGAAACATAAATTAAATTATTAGTGTTGGATCCCATCACCAAGACCCCTTGTATGTGTGTACATGCAAATACAGGAACTCCAAAATCTGAAAGAATCTGAAATCCTTTTGGTCCCAAGTACTTCGGATAGGGATGCTCAATCTGTACCACCAATTCAGTGGTTTGCAATGGTATATTGGTATATTGTCACTTCTTAGTTAACCCAATAAAGGCATTATGCTAAAACATTTGAGGGGAAGGTACTATACATCATTTAGAACTTTTAAACAGGAATCCAGGCTGTGTAATGGTGAAGAGGAACTAAGAAATGTTTGTTGTTGTTGTTGTGTGCCTTCAAGTAGTTTCTTCAGCACAGTCCTATATCCCAGAATATCAAGGCAGAAAATCCCACATTATCTGAGTGTGGGCTCAGATAACCAGTTCAAAGCAGATATTGTGGGATTTTCTGTCTTGGTATTCTGGGATATAGGGCTGTGTGGAAGGGCCCTCAGAGGCAGAGAGTTCCACTACTGAACAGTTCTCACGGTTAGGAAGTTCTTCCTAATGTTCAGGTGGAATCTCCTTTCTTGTAGTTTGAAGCCATTGCTCTGAGTAGTTTCCAGGGCAGACATCCTTTCACATATTTATACATGGCAATCATGACTCCTCTCAGTCTTCGCTTGTGCAGGCTAAACATACCCAGCTCTTTAAGATGCTCTTCATAGGGAATGGTTTCCAGACTTTCAACCATTTCAGACGCCCTCCTCTGGACATGTCAATAGCTTATCAATATCTCTCTTAAATTGAGGTGCCCAGAACTGGACATAGTGTTCCAGGTGAAGTCTGACCAAGGCAGAATAGAGAGGCACCATGGCACGGAACAATGGCTTCAAACTACAAGAAAGGAGATTCCATCTAAACATGAGGAAGAACTTCTTGACTGTGAGAGCTGTTCAGCAGTGGAACTCTCTGCCCCGGAGTGTGGTGGAGGCTCCTTCTTTGGAAGCTTTTAAACAGAGGCTGGATGGCCATCTGTCAGGGGTGCTTTGAATGCAATATTCCTGCTTCTTGGCAGGGGTTGGATTGGATGGCCCATGAGGTCTCTTCCGACTCTATGATTCCCTCGATCTAGACACTATACTCTTTTGATGCATCCCAGAATCACATTGTCTTTTTAGCTACTGCATCACATTGGCCCCTTCCACACAGCTGAATAAAATCCCACATTATCTGCTTGGAACTGGGATATATGGCAGTGTGGATCCTTCGAGACAGCCCAATATCCCAAATATTGTGGGATTTTCTCCCTTGATATTCTGGGATATAGGGCTGTGTGGGAGGGCCAAGTCCACACTGCCACATACTCCAGTTCAAAGCAGATAATGTAGGATTTTATTCATCTGTGTGGAAGGGGCCCTAGTTCAAAGCAGATATTGTGGGTTATTCTGCCTTGATATTGTGGGTTATATGGCTATGTGGAATGGCCCAAAGTTGGCTCATGGTTAACTTGTTGTCCACAAAGACCCCAATATCTTTTTCACATGGACTGTTATCGAGATAGCTATAACTCATTTTGTTTCTTTGCATTTCATTTGATTGGCCTAAGGGCCCTTCCACACAGCCATATAATCCACAATATCAAGGTGGATAATCCACAGTATTGTTGGAGCATGTAAGAAATCAGTTAATGTGTGTGCGTCCACTGTAAAATAAGATGCATGAAACTGACTGGCTGGGCTATGTCTGGGGAGCTGGCTGAGCCTGGGACTTTTGGATACTGTTACATTTTCCAGGCTTGAGCCATGCAGGTGCTCAGAGAGGAGAAAGAAGCAGAGAAAGACAAGAGTTTGGAGTGTGCTCTTGGGCCCTTCCACACAGCGCTATATCCCAGAATATCAAGGCGGAAAATCCCACATTATCTGCTTTGAACTGGAATAAATTGCAGTGTGGATTCAGCTAACAGAGGGCCCGTTCACACAGCCCTATATCCCAGAACAGAAAATGAACTGCAAAGACTCTGGCACAAGCCAGTCAAGGTGGTCCCAGAGGTGATCAGGACACTGGGTCATGCAAGTAGAAAATCCGACATTATCTGCTTTGCACTGGATTATCTGAGTCTACACTCAGATGTACGATTTCCTGCCTTGATATTCTGGAACATAGGGACAAATCTGGGATAAATCCATCTGAGTGTTGACTCAGATAATCCAGTTCAAAGTGGGATTTTCTACCTTGATATTCTGTGATATAGGGCTGTGTGGAAGGGCCCTTTGTTAGCTGAATCCACACTGCAATATATTCCAGTCCAAAGCGGATAATGTGGGATCTTATTCAGCTGGGTGAAAGTGTTTAGGAAAAGACTATTTGAACTGGATAAAAGCCTAACAGCAAATTGAGAAGCAGCTAACACAGGCATGGGCCAACCTGGACCCTCCAGGTGTTTTGGACTGCAACTCCCACAATTCCTAACAGCCTACCGGCTGTTAGGAATTGTGGAAGCTACAGCCCAAAACACCTGGAGGGCCCAAATTGGCCCATGCCTGAGAGAGGCACATTGAGTTCCCCCTGAAGCCATGACAAGAGACGCTGGGCTTCCTTTCAGTCCTTTAATGGCAGAGGAGAGCCTGCCCTGGGCCCCAGTTCCTCCTTCCAGTCCTTCAAAGGCAGGTGGGCTTCCTAGCAGTCCTTTCAATGGCAGGTGGGCTTCCTTTCAGTCCTCCAACGGCACAGAGTCCCTCCTTCCAGCGTCCCAGTCAGGTGCTCAGTACCAGTTGGTACAAGAGATGAGATAGCGGACGTCGTCCAGCACGTCCAGGAGCCAAGCCTGGCAGCTCTGGGCCAGGGGCTCGGCTTGGGCGGCCTGGGGAGGAGGAGGAGGCGCCATGGCGGGCTCTGGAGGGGAAGGGGCGCCTTCTCCCGAGGGAGCGGCCTCCCTGGAAGCTTCCCCGGGGTCTCCCTTCTCCTCTGCTTCCTCCTCGGCCTTCTCCAGGGTCGGGACGGCGGCGCTCATCCTGCCCTTCGCCTCCTGCCAAGGGAAAGGTCTCTTGCTCTTGCTGCTGCTCCTCCTCCTCCTTTGTGATGCAGGGAGAAGGAGGAGCCAGGGTGGGAGGCGACGCAAGCACCCGGCGCAGGGCATGCCTAGGCTGGAGAAACAACGTTGCCCTTTGGCACCGCTTTAAAAGCCATGCTATGGGATCCAGGGAGTTGTAGCAGAGGCCCCTTCCACGCTGGCCTATGAAATCCATATTATCTGGACCACTCTGAACAACCACCTTGTCAGGCTGCACAGAGAAGCCACTGAAATCCACAAGCGTGTGGTCAGTTTCAACAGAAAGGAGGAAACAATGAAAATGTACAAAATCTGGCTACCAGTATTTTTTTTAAAACCCTCTATAATAAAGAGGAACACTGGAAAAAAAAAACAGGGAACTCCAGACAATAAACAATCAGGGCCAGCTAACACCTCCCAACAAAGTATGGTGATAGTATGATAGCTGGGTCCCGAAGCTCCGAATTTTATGGAGATGCCACAAAGGCAGCTGTGAATAAGGGAAGAGAGGGGGCGGAGTGAGAGTGGGGGAGAGAAGGATGGATAGAAAGGAGGAGACGCTTAGAATAAGGGTTTGGGTTAGCATAAGGGTTAGGGTAAGGTTTAGGGTTTGGGTATGGGGATAGGCTTATGTTTACTGTACGGTTCAGGGTTAGGGTTTCACCATTAAAGAACTCTTAATGTATTATCTGTCTCCAGCCTGGTTTACATTAGCTAAGTCTCTCTTGGGCAAACAGCGCTCCCGAAGGAACGATGCGGCATCTCCATAATGCTCGGAGCTTCCGGAACCAGCTATCATATACTATTATCCCTAACCCAAACCCTAAACCTTGCCCTAACCCTAACCGCTAACCCTAATCATAACCCTAGCTCTAAACCTTACCCTAACCCAAACCCTAAACCTTACCCTAACCGCTAACCCTAATTGTAACCCTAGCCCTAACTCTTACCCTACTTCAAACCCTAACCATAAAACTTACCCTAGCCCTAACCGCTAACCCTAATCGTAACCCTAGCCCTAAACCTTACCCTAACTGCTAACCCTAATTGTAACCCTATTCCTAACCCTTACCCTACCCCAACCATAAACCTTACCCTAACCGCTAATCCTGATCGTAACCCTACCCCTAACCCTACCCCAAACCCTAACCATAAAACTTACCCTAAC